CCTCCTTCTCCCACATTTTAGGACACTTGGGATGACATTGAGTCCACCTGAAAAACTCAGTATATTCTCCCTGTATTAATGTCACCTGATGAACATCCTTATTTCCACTGGGAAATGTAATCCCCAAACCCTTGTCACATAATTTTACACATTTACAGGTCCAGGGATCAGACACAGGCAACTTTGGAGGCCGTCATTCTGCCTTCCACACCGAGGCACCTGGTAACAGGAGAGAAACAAAGATATTTTTGAAAACAGAATGATGACCATAGTTTTACATTTTGAGTCAAAATGAGACTAAAAGGACAAAGGTCCCAGAAGGGAAACAGGCATCTTATGTAACACAAGCCACTCTGCAACTATCTGCTGTTTAAAATGAGCATGTGCTCGTGGGTTCAGAGGACTCACTGGACTGTCTTCTGCCAACATCAACATAATCACCTCAAACTGTTCCTTATGCTTTGCTAGCTAAAAATTTAATTGTTCAACCCAAGAAACAGAGGCTTCTCTCAGATTTTCATAATTTCAACCCTGAGAGGAATTGGGTTTATATTGGAAGACCCCTTTTATAAAGAAAGTCCAGGTGTTTACAATTTTATAAATTTCATATTTTCTAGGGTGAAAATGAGATGTACATCAATTCAGTGGCACTTTATTTGTGATCTTTCAAGAAGACAATCTGCTAGTTTCTTGTTGAAGATAGAGAATGTCAAAGATTCTGTATTCTGTATTATGGGCTTTGGAAATTCAGTACAGCTCAAGAATTAGCTCAGAGAGGCCATTCACTGCAGAGCAGAGCTTCAAATCTAATCAGTTCTCAGGGCATCATATCTGCCCCTGCAGCCCTAACAAGGCAGTTGACATCCTTGTTCTTTCTGGAGAGATCAGAAGCCACCTCCTAAGTAACTGATGGGTGAATTGAGGGTGTGTGTATGACTAGGGTCATGGAGCCACCAGTGAGAGGCATGTGAGAGTTTGCAGAGAAGTTGGCTGTAGTGAGCCAATGAGCTCATCTTTAAAAACTTGTAGTTTGAGGTGCAGATGGATATAGCTGACTGGCTCTTGGGTGACAGATACAATAGAGAAGCCATGCTGAATAGATAATACAAAAAAAATGTGTAGGGAACCTCTGGATGTGTAGATCTGCATCTAAGGTCAACTACACTTGAGTTTGGTCCTGCCTGATTCATCTCCCAGAGATGCATCCTCCTTTGAAAGGAACTTTCAAGTTGGGGGTTGTGGCTTAATCAGTGATGTCACTGACAGTTATATCTTGTGGGGATAAAATGTCCCCAAACTCACTGCTCTTATCATGTTCACAATGTCTTGGTCTGAGATGGTCCAAATTTGTTCTTACTCTGCCATGGGCACCTGGACCCTCTGCTGTGTGGCCCTTTGTATCCTGGTAGCGAGTGAGTCCTCAGAATATTGGGCATCCTTATGTGGGCTTTTTTCCTGATGGCTCTTTATATTTTTCTCTTTCTGTCTTTTAATTATGTCTTCTTTCACAGAGTACACAGATGCTGGGGTCACCCAGACACCCAGGCACAAAGTGACAGAGATGGGACAAGCAGTAACTCTGAGATGTGAGCCAATTTCAGGCCACAACTGCTTTTACTGGTACAGACAGACTGTGGTACAGGGACTGGAGTTGCTGATTTACTTCCGCAACCAGGCTCCCATAGATGACACAGGGATGCCCAAGGAACGATTCTCAGCTCAGATGCCTGATGCCTCAGTCTCTACTCTGAAGATCCAGCCCACAGAACCCAGGGACTCAGCCATGTATCTCTGTGCCAGCAGCACAGACACACTGCTGCAGGATAGGGATGCCCAAGGAACGATTCTCAGCTCAGATGCCTGATGCCTCAGTCTCTACTCTGAAGACCCAGCCCACAGAACCCAGGGACTCAGCCATGTATCTCTGTGCCAGCAGCACAGACACACTGCTGCAGGATCCCCCCCTCCCTGTACACAAACCCTGGTGCTTCCTCTTCTCCCTCCAGTTTCCAGCAGTTCTAAGTCATCCCTGCTCCTTCCATTCTATGAGAAATAACTGGGTTTGGGGCATGACAAAGACATGAAATGATAAAGTACCAACATAGAAAACCTTGCAGAAAATAACGTAGAAATGTGTTTCTCAGATCATCACAAATTGTGGGATCAAAACTCACACTCATGTAAGAGAAAACTAATTTGACCACACTGTAGAGTTCCTGCCTTCCTGGCTTTGTCACCCCATCTGAAAGGTGCAGCTCTAGAATACAGCCATGTCTACTGAGATACTCAGCCCTGTCCATTCTCTTCTCACTCTGAGCTCTGAACAGAATTTTTTCCCCGTGTTCTTCACTATGAATGTGGATATTCCTTTATAATGCTAATTTCAACTGAGCATTTATGGATGAATCTTTCATTACACTCAAAGAGTATCTCAAGTATGGGTTAGTGCAGGCAGTTACATAGTTTAGATGTCAGCCACCACTGCTGGAGTGTTGGGATCCATTTGTTTCTACCCTGAATGAAGAGAGCCCACGGGAGCTGAGGACTTGTGTGGACTCAGGTACTGATGAGGGCTCCTCAGCTGCCTGCCCTGGAGCCACCAGTGTGGATCCGCATTGGGATATCTACAGCAGCAGGCCACCCAGTCTCACTTAACCTCTTTCTTCTCTGATCCTATGTTCTTAACACGCAGATCTATATTTTTCTTCTGATTTATGCCATAAATTTCCACATAACACCTAGGATCCATTCTGAATGGTTATAATTTATGTCTTCCACAAACTTATTTACATACTGATGGCTTCTTAACCTCTGTCAAAGTATCACTGGCAACTGGTGCAAAAGATGCCCTTATTTTGAGTGCCTGAGGAAATTCAGGTTTCCTTGAGTTCTGCCTTTTAGCCAAATACCACTTGTCATTGTACACTTTTTTGTCATTCAGGGCTTCTGACTTTGAAGATGAAAACAGTACAGAATAAAAATCAGTTATTTTCTGAATGTAGATCAACACACATAATGTCCCTCTATATGTGGTCTTAACACCTTCCTTCTCCTCCTGGTTTCTCTAAACTGCTTGAAGATCATTTTCTTTTCTCCTGTGTCACACCCCAGCTCTTTTACACACACGACACTAGAATGCCACCCTTTATTGATGCACAGCTTCACTGTCAGATCTCTATTTCATTCAGTCCTGCTTCCCACCACTAACCTTGGCATCATTCTTGATGACTTTATCATCAAATAGACAATTTATACACTGGGTTAGGTTCTCAGTTTTTTCACCTCTTTACTTCTGAAAACTGTTTCCCTCCAGTCCTTTTCAGACTTGCTTCCATGATTATAGTAAATATCTACTGAATGAACGAATGAGGATCTCCCTCTGTTTCAAGCTTCTGGGGCACAGAATTTGTCTGACATCTTGTCCACTCCTCCTAACATTGTATATTAGAGAAGACAGGTTAAAAAGAGCATCTGTATTGAATAAATTAATGAATAAATGGATTTCAATAGGAAAATTCCAAACAAGATTGTTTAGAGCCTCTGTTATGAGCTATACTGCAGACAGACTATGTAAGATGTAGTAAAATCTTTTGGTAATTCCAACTTACCTGCATAATCTTTGGCCAGAACTGCTCCTGGAGAATCAAGGGGTCATAGGCAAAAAGAAAGTCAAAGAGATTTAGAGGCTAGAAATGGCTAGGATTGTTTTCCCAACCTGAGGTTTTCAAAAATAATATCAAGGTTTTCAGTTTATTTTTAAAAATTAGTGAACATTACATTTGACACCAAGCTATACACAATAAGGAATTTGACACATGTCTTTTCTTAAGATGGAATTACATTAGAGTTCTTTGAAACTAACTCATGGGCTTACCTCATGCTGATCAGAAATTCAGATTGGTAGTGCTATGTATTACAACAGTGAGAAAATAAATTAGTATTTTGTAAACATTATTAATTAAAATTAACTTTTGCCAAGAATGAGGGTAAAAATTTAAATACTGCCCATCTTTTGCAGTGAAAGGAATGGAAAACTGGGGACTTGTAAACTCCCAACCCAACTACCCACCTTTTATGGGCCCAGGTTCTCTGATCTTTATCTGCCCAGGGAAAGGGAAGTGAAGCTGAGCAGGGAAAGTGCTGGTTCAGGACTCCACCTGCTCTAGGGCTTGAGGGGAGGGTCCAGGAGAGAGTAGAAAGTTGATTGAGCCTGTGCTGAGTGGCTCACAGGCATCTGTGGGGTTAGCAATCACCTTGCTGGGATAAGCTTCGCATTGAGGGGTTCCTGTTGTTTTCTTCAACAGGTAATTGTTTTATGAAATGCCCTCCACTTCCTGTGTCTTCAGTTGTGGCTGCTGCTTCTCTTTCCAACACTTCATACACTACCCTTAGATCCACTTGAGGCAGAAACAAGGCTCCAAAGTCTCACCAGCTACACTCATAAGAGCCAAGATGGGACAACCCTTCATGGCAGGCTGTGACTGCCTCAGGAGCAGACAAGTTGATCAAGCTGTAAACTTCCCCAATCTTTAGTCCAGGTGCCTTGGCAAGAATAACTAGGGGAGAAACACTAACTGTGGAGTGAAGAGCAAAACAAGGATCTTAGAGCAGTCTTCAAACTAGTTCTTAACAAGACTGTTTTATATAAGACCTACCTGGAAGCTGCCTCTGGTGTGGATAAAAGAGAGAAAGAACCAATGAACATGACATCATTATGATGGCAGAATAGATGATCCCAGCATTGCTCCTTCCCACAAGTAACCAATTTACAACTTTTAAGAATCAAAGACTCCCAACTTGGCACTGCTGGAGCTGGGGAAAGAGGAGGAGAGACCCACACAGTATGTGAACATATGAGAAGCCATGGTGAGAGGGGGATTATGGATGGCACTGATTGTTCTGAGCTCTGACTAGTTTTTTGCCTCCCTGATATGGGGTGTAGAAGGGCTGCAGCACATGGATCAAAGCCAGAAAAAGCTGTGGCAATATTTTTGCATGAACCTCCTTGTACCATGCAGGGGAGAGGAGGGCTTTAGAGCCTACTGTTACAGCCTACAGGCTATTAAGACCAATGAAAAGATTCCCCTGCGCCTGTGGAGGAGTGAGCCACTACAGCTGACTAGAGAAAGGAGCCACAGAGCAGCTGGTGAGCCATTAGGAGGGACACATAAATGACTCACCCCACAGGAGGCAGTCAGAACATGAAGGGAAGTCTAGCCTGCCAGGGGGACATTGGGTATAGTGTGGCCAGTTGGTCTCAGTGGAAATTGGTCAGGGTGATAGAACTGCAGGGAGCATAATCTGTAGGAAAAATTCTGTCCTGGGATGGAATTTCTACACAGTCCAGCCCAGAAGTGATTAATGCCAACATTTAAATTTAAATCCACATAAAAATCCTTCCCCAGAAAATCAGTAGCAAAAAAGCAAATTAGCTTAAGCAAAGACCTAAGTTCTCAAGTAAGTTCCCCCAGTTTGGGAATTAACCACAGGACAGCACATTAGTTATAGTGCACAGTCTAAGTGGTGGTAATAGCTATCCATTCACAGAATGGAAAAAAAAAAAAAAACAGGGCAGAGAAAAAGCTCTGATATTAACCAGCAAATGTCTGACACAACCAAAGAACATCTATAAAACCTAGAAGAGGGAGCAGTCTCCTCAAATACCCAGTCATCAATGTAAAGATACATAGACTGAAAAAGAACAAAGAAATATATCACCACCAAAGGAAAGAAAGCACGAGCAATGCACCTAGAGAACAGGAGATCAATGAAATGTCTGACAGAGAATTCAGAATAACCCTCTTAAGAATGTTCAGGAACTCACAAGAAAATATAGACAGAAAGGTAAACAATATCTGGAAGACAATTCAAGAGCCGAACAAGAAACTACACAAAGCAATAGAATCAATTGAAAACAATAGAAAATCTAGAAATAAATAATACATTATCTGAATTAAAATCTCGATAGAAAGCTTCAATAAGAGAAAAGAATCAGTGAGCTCAATGATAAAACACACAAAACTATCCAACTAGAGTAGCAAAAGGAAAAAGAATATGGAAAAATGAAGCAGAAATACAGCATATTTTCTTCTCTTTTGGGTATGTCAATTATGTGGAGTAAAATAACCTCCACATAATTGACATACCTAAAGAAGAAGAAAAAGGAAGAGACTGAAGAAGCATATTCAAGGAAATAATAACTGAAAATTTCCCAAGTATGAAGAAAGATGACAGTATCCAGATACAGGAAGTTCAGAGGTTGCCAATCAAATTAAATTCAAAAAGGAACCCAAGACACATTATAATCAAATTGTTAAAACCAGAGACAAAGGGAGAATATTGAAAGCAGCAAGTGAGAAGAAACATATGACATTCAACAGAACTCCACCTCATCTCTCAGCGGATTTCTCAGTAAAAACCCTACAGGCCAGATGAGAATGGGATGATATATTCAGAGCATTGAAGGGAAAATATGGTTAGCCAAGAATTCTGTATCCAGCATACCTAACATTCAAATATGAAGGAGAAATAAAGTCTTTCCCAGATAAACAAAAGCTAAGGAAATTCATCAACCCTAGACCAGCTTTACAAGAAATGTCTCTTCAATCTGAAAGAAGACAATGCTAAAGAGTATCAAGAAAACATCTGAGGATATATCACTCATTAGTAAAACAGGTACACAGTCAACTTCAGAATACTTCAATGTTGTAAGAGTGGTGAATAAGTCACTTATTTCCTTAGTATAAATACTAAAAGACAAACCTAAAAAAAAAATAACATAGAAAACAACAAAATAAGAGATAGGCAATTTAAAAGATATAACTTGGAACAACAAAGCATCAAAAAGTGGTGAGAAATGATACC